CACCACAGAACTGTGAGTAATGTTCACATGCGCGGGCCGGATCATTGTCTGCTGATGATACAGACATGTCGTTACTACTTTTATGTGCAGCAATTTATTTCAGCAACGAAGATATCGCTATCCCACTTTTCTCACAGTTGTCACGTTCCTATATTTTCACACAGTGACGTCGACACTGGTATGTAAAATACAAAACTAACCGCCTGATTTGTCTAAAAAATTTACCCTTGATCACATAATAGACAAATAAGTGATATACGCGTGGTGTCAAAATCCGGAAACGCATTTTCGTCAACTATGTAGGGCGTTCGACGCTTCCATCTTTCCGCAGATCTTCAATGCGTATATGAGAAACCATGTGGAGTACACGATTCAGGTCTGATAACCGCGGCTAAAACGCGATCTGGTTGTATTGAATGTCCCACTGAGAAGGACAACCAATGATGTGAAGAGTTTGTTCGAGCTGTCCTACCAATTGCGACTGATGTCTCTAGGAGTGTACAGTGGAAGTTTCGCCATCTGCGGCATGACCTCACTCGGACTTCTCAGATTTTGAAAGACCTTAGTCATATCTGCCACCACCTCCTTAAACTCAGCCATAACACAAAACTGTTGGAAAACTAGTTGAAATTGTCCACCGAGTACAACCGGCTAGAACACCGCCGAAATTTTTCTCTCGCTCAAAATTGGTCGGCAGTGAATCGCTCCTCCGACACTTCATTTTTAACAGAACGTTTGAGTGACGCAGTTCAGCATTTACGATACATGACATGACTTCCGCGCATCAAGTGTAAACTAGACGCGAACGACCACTGTGCTCAGCATCCCCTAGAAAAAATGGGTGGACTGCTTTAGGTGTGTGTAACGTGGATATCATGGCGAGTCTATAAATGCGCGGTTTACTTTGCTGTCAACTTTTAGTGAGCTTGTGTATCTCACACAAATCGTCTCACAGGAATTGCCAAGCTTAAGCCATTTTTACCCGTTTTACACCATGGTTCCATTGCACCACAAATTATAAAAACCGTGAAAGAAGTAAACCAGTCATCGACCTTTTTGAACCCCCCTTATCTTTAGGGAGATACGCGTTGAGTTTATTTTGATTAAACGTCATAATGCGTACACACATTCTTGATCCAAGTTGTCACAGATCATTTCTGCCCTTCAGCTAGGGATCTGCAAGTAGGAATTTTGAATTGTTTTTTCCCCACTTCAACGTATCTTAGGCCACATTTGCGCATCTTGCCTCATCCATTTGCCAGTCCACTGACAGTCATCAGTAAGATAACCGAATATTTACTGGAGCGACATTCGCGTATCTTTCCCATGTTTTTCCATACGCGTTTATTCTCAGTTACTACTATATTTTATCATTGCCACCGTAATAGTACAGATGCTAAAATGGACCCATCTAGTTATGTTTGGCCTACTTGATCTTCCTTGACTTGTAACCGAAAGTCGTGGTAATAGAATTATTCGAGTAATACTCACAGTGTCCTCTCCTTTGCAGGAGATGTTTAAATTACTGAAGCATTTTGAGCGCTATCGCTTCGTTTGGTCTTCCTCTCGAGAAACGGAAATCGAAGAATTTCTCAGAAATTCTCCAATGGTATTAGACTATGAATCCGCAATTACTCAATATGAAGAAAAGGTGGGTGATTTAATAAACATAAAGTCATTCAAGATCACTATTGTGCAGTTAGTCTTTTTAATACTGCACACCTTGTGTTGGAGTATGGCAGCACAAACAAAAGGCTGCTTATGCGGTAACCATCTCTTGCAACGTTGATAAAATAACCCTTTTTTATTTACTATCGTAGAAACACGCTTCCCTTTTGTCCAGTGTTTTCATAACCACTAGTTTGTTTGCTTGTTTATAACTGTCTCGCCTGTCATAAACCCCTTACCAAGTTACTCGAATCAGGAGAATAATAATTTGTCACCCCATAGCGAGTTTATGTGCCGAAACGGCGCAAAAAGCGTGCCATTTGTGTAACATTGTATATCAATCTAAGCTCTACTGCAAGGGATGTTGGCCCGAGAGGTTCAGCAAATGTGGTACCGATAGATGAACTACGACAGTTTCGGCGGTGATGGACCTCGTTGCGGTTCAACGGGAAACCAAACCATGCAGCTGGTAGACGGCTAGTCGTACGTTTGACAGTACATGTTTACTGTGAAATTGTTAATGCTTTCCTCAGTATCTGTATAGATTAGTTGGGGCACTTTTCGGATGCAACGGGAGCCGAAAACAAGCGAATTAAGCATACAGCGAACAGTACATTGAACTTGTCAAGGGCTGTGCTTAAACCGCAGTTAAGTGAGTTTAAGAAGGGAACGTAAGTTTTCAATATCTCGGCTCCTTTCAAGACTGCTAGTTCAATTACGATAGGAGTAAAGGAAGCAAGAAATCGTGAACGAGTGTTCTTTGAGGTATCATGAGAATATTTTAACGAATCATCAAGAGCGCCATCAAAGCAAACTTATGAGGGGAACGGCTTTCCACAAGGGTATCGTGAAGGAACCATGCCCATGACCAATGCGAAGTCCACTGTGGGCAGTCTTTTATGTTTCTTCCTTAATGGTTGATCATGGGGAGTTTTATTCATACAGTCATTTCACTACACAATTATGAGGTTGTTAGCGGGATTTTGACCTAAGATGAGTGCCGCCTAATATTTTATAAACTCAACTTATTATTACGATTTAACAGGACAGTGTGTATGAACTCGGGCTGCAGACATATGTATTTATGCAGATTGTTAAGTAGTATCGAGCTAGCGATGGGACTTGTCATTTTCCTGCAACTGTTCGGTTACGACTTAAATCCCTTCCTCTTCAGACACAGCAGAAGTAACGAAAGGTGTATTGTTGGATTTCTTGCTGACGGCTGTTCTGTCACTTCTGAGTAGGTTGTGGTATTCAGGTAGCCCACGGAACTGAGTAGTTGGAGCCTGCCAACTTGTGCATACGAATTGACGGAGTTATAGAATGTAGCTAGGATTCCCTCACTTATCTACAATGCTGTACCGCGTTCAAATCTGGTGACATGCACGTGCCCCTTGCTGGAGCACCGATACTGTTGTGTAGGATAAGTCAAATGCACGAACCGAACTAAGAAGGTCGCTCCGGTAAACAAACTAATGTAATTCGAGAAATGTCCAACTATGTGAGTACATTAAGGTGTCGCAAAAAGAAGGATGAACCAACAGGGAAGCAGAAAAATATGCGCATATGTGTGTGTGTCTGGAGTTGTGTGCATGTGTCTGTTTAGACTAGCCAGCATGTATGCTGACAGAATACACAACCTCACCTCTTCGCTTAATCATGTAATGCGTCGAAACCATATCGATTCGGTGTTCTTGATTCTCTGCCCGTCCTACGGAGCTGCGTGCTTTGTGTAGTTTTCTCAGTGAAGGTTAGTGGCACATGCGCCGTTCGTCTGAGACTTGTGAATAATCTCCGGGCGTTGACTGTGTCGTCATCCTCCAGCCGGTAAGTGCCTGGCCCACATGCACACGTTATTCTTATCGGGCCTGATAATGTAGGCTGTACTTTTGATGCAGCATTTATCTTCACGCGCACGAATGTTCGGAGCTAGAGCGGAGTAGTAAACTTCTGGTAAGTGATCTGATATTGATTACTGGTTGCAGAAATCGGAAGTGCAGCATACAACTTTGTCCGAAGGGCACGCCCAAGCATGAATTCAGCTGGCGTTTTGTCTGTGGCTCGGTGGTTTGAGGTTCGGTAAGAAAATAATGCTTGTAGAACAGCATCCTCCCAACCCGTACCAGAAAAGCTAATAGTTTTTATACTCTCTTTCAAGAATTGATTGAACCGCTCTACCATGCCATTTGCCGCTGGATTATACGGCGTTGTACGTGAGTGTCGGATAGCGTGAATTTGAAGGAACAAAAGAAACTCGTGGCTTGTAAACTGCGGCCCGTCGTCCGTCACTATCTCCGCTGATAATCCGAAAAGGGGAAAACATGTATTACAGCCATCGAATAATGCTGGCAGTAGTCACCTCTCCACACAAATGGACTTCCGGCCATTTACTGTACAAGCATGTCGCCACCAAACAGTTACTTTGATGCTGAGGCCCTAAGCTAAATGGACCCATGACATCAAGAGCTATCTTGGCCCACGGTCGCATAGGATGGTCAATGGGTTGTATAGGGGATGAAACCGGCCTTGAACTCTTGTCTGCCCTTTGACATGAAGAGCAGTCCTGAACGACTTTTTCTGTTTTGTGTAACATACTGGGCCACCAGAAGCATGCGTCAACCTTGCGTTTCGTACGAACGATACCAGGGTGGCTTTCGTGACCACAGAGCATGATCTATTGCATCAAGCTCGAAGAAGCCACAAATATTTCGCCGCGCATTATACATCCACCTATAAATGCAGTTTCATGACGCAACACGTAGTACGGACGAACCTAGTTATGTTGTTACTAGCCGCTTAGCAGAAACCCCTGAACGCGCCAGGGTGTATTGCCTTCTTGAGCCACCTTCTGGAGTTCTTCCTTAGTCAGGGCTGGAATTGGTTCATTAATCAGGGAAGACACCAGTAACCTCTCATTAGCATCCCCATTATTTTCAGTTTCGTTGAGTGGCAGTCGAGAGAGCTCATCTGCTACCTGGTTTTCGCGTCCGGGACGGAACTTCATTTGAAAATCGTGTGTTAACAATCGTGCATACCAGCGATGGATCCGAAGTTGCCTGATGCCATTTGTTCCCCGAGTAGTAATTAAGTTAGTTAACGCTGCGTGTTCTGTACGAAGAGTGAAGTGTCTTCCGACCATGAACAAATTCCCCTTTTCACAGGCCCAAACGCAGGAAAGGGCTTCTTTTACCCCAACAGAGTAGAAAAGCTCTGTCGCCGACAATTTACTGGAAGCGTATGCAATAACTCTTTCATGCCCATTTTAATTTGGGAGAGTATAGCAACCAACCCAATGTTTGATGCGTCAGTAGAGACAATCGTTGGACACGTCTCGTCGAAAATCGCTGTGACTGGTGTGGAAGCAATGCGACGTTGTATCTCGTCAAATGCCTTTTGTTGGGGGTGATCCCAAACAGATACACTTTTCTCCTTTGTCAGTTCACGCAGTAGCTCAACAATCTTCGTGCAATCCTGCAGGTAACGTAGGTTGTAAAAACACATACCTAGAAAATGCTTTTTGTTAGTGGAGTTCTGTGGACTAGGAGCCGCGGTGATGGTGCGCGCGTTGTTAAAACGGCTTCATACCGTCAGTTGTTAAATGGGGCCCAGGAACTCGATTTCACTAGCATTGAATTTGTACTTCTCGAGGTTTGGCCGTAGGTTAAGATCATGTAGTCGACGTGAAATAGCACGCAGTCGTGAATCATGTTCGTCTGGAGCACTAGCGAATACTCAGATGTCGTCTACGTATACAATTTGACCAGGTAAATTGGCAAATGAGTGTACCATAAACTTTTGCCAAGCTGCTGGGGCTGAACTCAAGCCCATTGGCAAGACTTTGTACTGAAAGAGTCCGTCCATAGTAAGAAATGCGATCAGCGGTCTTGATTCCTTAATTAGCGGCATGTGAAAGAAAGCGCTTTTAAGGTCTAATTTTGGAAAAACATCTGGAGCCGGCTGGTTTGACTAATATTTCATCTGCGGTTGGAAGCACAAACTTTTCTACCACGAATTGACGATTTAGGGTCTGCAGCTCATTGCATATTCTCACTGTGCCGTCCTTCTTGAGGACTGTAAGCATAGGGTGGACCCATTCAGAACAGTTAATGGGTTCAATGATATCAACTACAATAATTTGCCGTAATGCTGACGAAACATCCTCTCTTCGGGCCAAAGGAATTGAACGTGGATGAGCAATAGCTACCGGTTTAGTACCCTGCTTCAGACATATGCGGTAAACGGGGGACGGAGCGCGCCCTGTTGTTTGTTAAAACAGTTTCGGGTACTGTATCTATAGGTCTGATAGGTTAATTGCCATGATACGCATACGACATAGGGACGGCGTGATTCCTAGTGTAACCATAGCATTGCGTCCGAGTAGGGGACGGTTATTTCCGCAGGTGAGGTACACAGCAACTGACGATTTCACGGCCTCAACTTGAGAAAGAATAACCACAAATCCCCGTATTTCTTCCGGGGCCCTTGTATAACTGTCAAATCGATAAGCTGAAGGATGTATAGGCATATAATATAGGTGAATGCCATAAAAACTACTCGGTATTATGGTGTTAGGAGAGGCTAAATCAAGCTCCATGTCAAAATATGTTGTTCTATCGTGTGCAATAACTGTAACAGTACGAATATCGGACACTGGTAGTTTAGGCTCTGGACCATTGGAACGATAGTTAGACACAGTACCCGTGTTATCAATAGAAAATACATTTTCATATGACCAACTGCTGACTAGAAACGGAATGTTTAGGAAGCAACTGAGAAATGCGTACTGAACGACAACAACGGACAAAATGTCCACGCTTACAGCACTTTTTGCAATCCATTTCTAAGGCAGGGCATTTGGTAAAATTGGCTTTATGCTGTAGGCTACCGCAACGGAAGCATTTCTGTGGGGACTGGAATTCGGTTGGCGAGCGATGGATCTTGGCAACCACCTGTATGTCTGCATGAGTAGCGAAACATCGCAAATGTTCGGCCGTGCAAGTTTTGAGGCTGTCTAATTCCACAGCCTTATGCCAAGTCAATTTGGAAGCTTCTTCGGAAAGTAGACATTCCCGAATTTGGTTATTGCTGATTCCGCTAATCAACTGCCGCACTAGCATTACGCCTTCGATGCTATGTTTCGGTATGATTGGATATTCGCAGAGTCGTACACCGTGAATGAGGCGATCAACAAAACTGTCTAGCGTTTTTGATGTTTCCACTGTAAGTCGGCCAAATATGAGGCTAGCTATTAGGTGGTTTGTACGCTGGCCCCATTACATATTCAGCACATCTAGTGTTACGTTAAGGTATCTTGAGACTGGAGCTGCAAAGCATTGAATTGACGTTGTCTGTCATCACCGAGTAGGTGTCTGAGAAACTTCAGTATCTGGCCTACTGTGTAGTTAGAAGCCGCAGGTAGTAGGTCAAGATTGCATGTAAACGAGGTTTTCCACTGGGCCCATGCACTTTCGGCAGGACTTAAGGTCGGATCAGACCAGTAAACTGTAGGAGGATGTAATCCCTTGACATAGGTTCTTAAGCCGTGACGCCAGTGTTGTGTACGAAAACGCAGATGCACGAACCGAAGTAAGAAGGTCACTCCGCTGAACTAACTACTGTAATCTGAGAAGTGTCTAACTACATGAGTACATTAAAGTGTTGCAAGGAGAAGAATGAACCAATAGGGAAGTAGCAACTAATGCGCTTATATGTGTATGCCTGTGGTTATGTGCACTTGTCTGTCTGGACTAGCCGTCAAACATTCTGGCCGAAAACACGACAGATACATCGCCCAGTTTCGTACAACTTAGCATGTAATGTACTCAAATTGGAGTGGGTAAGTGGAGTACCCGATTGCTGAACTCTTTCGGCACTCGTCGGTTAGTTATGGAATGCATATTTCGCTCCTCACAAGCACGATGTAACATTAGTTTCTAACGGATAACAAAGCCCAGGCTTAACATGTCCCGTAGGTTAGTAATAGTAGAAGCTGAAGTGGATATAAAGGGGGGTAACTAAAAGCATGGGCGAAGCGATAGCGCATGATGTATAGAAGATGGTTTGTGGGAGTGAGATAGTGGCGGACAAAAACGAATTAACACATTGTAACGGTTAATGCTCATTGCAAATAACAATCAGATTGTAACCGAGCAAGAACAATGAATATTTCTGCAGATTAATCTGAATTCAGCATATTTCGTGTATTCTGCCTTCGCTTACGTCATGCCATAAAGGGATGTTACTATACAGCTGAGCTTGTGTTGCTACACAGAACGAAAAAGCTACTACATGAATCCAGCTTGGACAAGCCTCATGTGTTTACCACTTGAACTGTACTTGCGGTAGCAAGTACAGTGGCCGGACTGAGAGGGCGTTGTCCACTCGAATTTCAGAACATGTCCCGCAGAATCTTGCTCTCCGTGGCGCAACATTACCTGGCAGCTCCGTTGCCCGACACTTATTCGACTGCTCGATGTGCCAGAATCCCCGCGAAGCCTTCAGGGTCATCAACAGACAGAGCACCCCAAGTTGTTATGGTTTGCTGGGGTTTCCGCCATGCGGCGTTTGAAGCCTAACCTATGTAAACAATTTGTGTTTGTGGCCACACTCACTTTGCCTTGGTGAGACAAGACAGGCTATCGAACGCAACTAACCATGGACTTCTGTTACTGAACTATTACTCGCAACTGTTTGAAAGTTTCTCCCATTGCGACTGAAGCGAATACAGGAAATATACTGAATTCAGATTATTCCCCAGAAATGTTCGTTGTTCTTGCTCTGTTAAAGCTTTTGTATGGAAATGGTTGTATGACACTTTTTGTTGTGCAAAGTTTAATCGCGGCTTCTACTTTCCACAAAACATACACTACTCACAGAACCACCAATAATGTAAACTTTTAAAACAAACAGATCGCTCACTCCTCTGCACTGATGTACGTGCGACACTGGGTCATAAATCCAAGTCAAGAGTGCCACCCATGTTCAAGACAACTGCTCAGGGCGTAGTTGCTAGTGATTCATGTATCGATTCTATTGATTATGCGCTCAAGTGCTGTGATGACTACTTGGGTGGTAGAACTGTTATTAGGAGTTTTGCCAATATATAAAATTTAGGCATTGTTTAAGAGTGCACGAAGACCATTTAGGACAATGTATTACTTTTTAGTTGAGTTTGCGCTACCTTCCTAAGAATTTTCTGATTAGTGGTAGTGCAGCTTGAGATCGGGCAGGCTCTGCACGACTGTGTATTTCTGTCTTACTACCCACCACACATAATTTATTGTTGCTTAACTCTTTGTAAATTTCCTTAAGGAATTCGAAAACGGACACTGTTGCCTAAGCTAGTGTACTTTCAGAATGATCGACGAAATGTTAACGATGAACGTTACCGACCTGCGAGTTATATTGATTCGGTTAACTAAACGAATTCATCTCGGGTATATGAATAACAATGATTACCAGTTCCACAAATGCATTCGCTTCAGAGTGAACAGACCAGTACCCGTGGGCCAAAGCCTAACACCTAACAAAGATCAATTAGCTGAAGTAGCATACATATGTGGCCTCCACTTTGTTGTCCATTTAGTCCACTGCATTTGATCTAGCCAAGCAAGGATTCATAAAGTTCATAAGGTGAGCATGTTTGTACACAGGTGCCTAAACTCTTCCCGATAATATGGTCGGATTGAAAAATGGCCATAGTTCTGAATCATGCGGTATCATCGTCATGGTTGAGATACGGTAGCAAGCGTGGATGATGAAAGCTGAAGTTTCACCCTCGGTCACGTCTCTCGTAAGAATTGCCAAGCCCAGAAAACCGGCTGAGTAATCTCGTATTACTGCTAGGCTCTGTATCGATCTTATACAGCGGTTCTTGCTTATCTGTGGTATCAATTATAATTAACAAACATGGTAATTGCCTTGGAGTATCGTCCCCAAACCTGTAGACAGAAAATGACCTGTCATCTAGTGGCTGTTGTAAGACATGCGTTAAACCGAAACTAGCTCACATCTTCGTCATGCGTGATTTCAGTGCGCATTCTTTGGAAACCTCTGCTACAACCAAAGACGCAATCAGATCTGATCTGCAGCCATTTTCGTACTGACACTAACCCTATTCAAAAAGTGGCTGGATGACACTCTCGACCCTATACATTTCTCCGCTTGGCATTGTCATTTCGATGTATTTTGGGTAGGAAAAGCTCGGCTGTACTAACTATCCTTTAACTGTGTTGTACAGCACTGCAAAGATCAAATGAGTATTGCTTCACAGACAAGTAACAATAAACCGATAAATTCTTAAAAGGATAAGTACACACTGTTCATATTGTTGAGGATATGAAAAAGCGAATTGTAAAGCACATGCTTTTTAAATCGTGCTAAATAGATGTTTACGGTTCATTTCTTATTGATTTGATCCAATGTGGTTCAACGTGAGAACGGCTACTTTGAATTTATCAATGTAAACGTCTAGGTTGGTGGGATCACTGCCTTCGAACGTTGGTAGCAGATGAACACAACTTCTTGACAACAGAAGCAGTTAAGACATTTGAAAAATAGCAAGGTAGCGGTTAACTAAGGCTGACATGCAAATGGAATGGAGCGGGTCCGAAATGGGTCTGAGCTAAGCTTTTTTCAACTTCTACTAGCCCGAGATGCATAGTTTCCTATTCTTACTTTTCAGAGATTTCTCAAGGCCATGGGTATTCTAATGGGAATACGTAGCATTTATGCCAGATGAAAATTTCAAGCTAGTTATGTCTCATAGTTTAGCTTGCTACTGGCGAGACCACAGGGAAGTAAAGGGGTCCTCAGCTAATTAACAAAAGTTGATGAAGCAGTGCCAGTCCAATGAGTAATCTTTTTAGTATCAGCGCCAATATATCACCCACGGTTTTACATAGGTTAGAAGACTTAGTGACTATCATACATCCCTGTTTTATGACCAAGTGGGAACGAGTTTAAACTTGTGAAATCATATAACCATTGCTTGTAGTGCTTCGTTTATCAGAAAGGTTCTGGCCTATCCCTACTATATGTTTGGGTATTAGAAAAGTGTCGAGGCATTCAGTGACAACTCAAGCCCAAATCTCAACTGTGCACATCTTATAGCTTCCTGACAGTCGAGGAGCTAGTTTGGAAGTTCCTCGAAAACGCGAGGCGATTAACTTTGTAAATCACATATCCACACAACAGCCATTGCTAAATTCACTTAGTAGAGCCTGTGTGGCTATAATAATGATTTTAGTATAAATATTTTCTCGACAGCTATCCACTGCCAGTTACTGTGAGTTGCCAGCCAGTTGCTTGCTGCGGACATGATGAGAAGGACATGCCGCAAGATTATCAGTGTGTGCTGTATTAGAGAACAGTTGATGTTTTTCAAGGGTTTATGTTCTTATTATACAACTTCATATTTCTACAGTGATCAATAGCCCTACTCAGTTTCAAATGTTATCCCGGTACGCATCCTACTCTCATTTGTAATATGTTGATTAGTTCACAGACTTGTTTAGCCTTCTCTAGAGTATCAAGCTTTACCTATTACTGGATTTCAGATGAAAGAAGTGTCAGCCGAGCCGGATGTGTTTGTTTGCGGTCCACTGGCTATATGTACAAGTCAACTCAAAGATAGCTTATTGGCTGAAATCAAAGAATGGAAGCTTCAATACGGACGGGAGTGCAGTCGGTTCTATGGAAAACAGATGCGTGACATTATTGGCCTGATGGAAAAATACGAAAAGCCGCTCACTCGTCCGGTAAAGGACTTAGATGACATAAGAATCATCATGAAGGTTTTAAGGGTAAGATGCGTTGGAATTTACACCAAACAATAATTTTCTAAACGGATGTCTTCAAAGAAAAATTCTCTAGTGATATGTTTAAGTTGGAAATTTATTTTCAAGTGTAGAAGTGGATACTCTAATTATTCTATATTTAGTCAGTGCGGCTCAATCCGCTGCCATATGTCATCGCGCGCTGAACTGACGGCTGCCTTTTATCTAGATCAAGAACGCAAATTCTGATATCACAATAAGAAAAAAGGTAGCAATTGCAATGATATTAGCTATAAGTAATGCATAACGAGTGTAGGGTGACATACGTTATGATTCCATAACCAGACGAATATAAGTCAATGTAGGTGTAAACGCCCTGTGCGGTTCCCTAACAGAAGGTGCAACTGGATCAAAGTAACTTAGGCCTGATGTGTTAGATACAGCCTGCAACTTGAATAACAGTGGAGGGAAGTTGGTACAGTGGTACTTCAATCCCTGCCAATAGACAACTCACGAGCAGCAGCGTGGAGTGAAAAGTCGAGGTACATGGTGTAATGAGCACTGGCGCAAGCAGCGATAGAAGTAAATGCAATGTTAAAATGCAGGAGCATTGGAGTTAGACAGTAACTATACAAGGAATAGTAAGGTACTTGGTATGGGGATTCAAGTCAGGAGATCTGAAGTAATACATCATACTGGTTGTGTCAGTTAAACTCTGGAACTGCCAATATTATTAAATTGGGATAACCAAAAGTTACATCTAAGTAGTTAGCGAATAAATCATGTAACTTATCAATTCATTGATTCCGTGCCAAACGTCTGAAGGGATTACTAGGAAGCTCTAATGGGACCTGTTGTGTATTCAACTTACCCGTTCAGACACGTCGTGCTATCTACTCACATCACAAACACACAGATACCCACACGTACACAACTGACTGCTTGCCCATCGCTTCTTTTCTAAATGTACCCGCATTACCTAGAACCTTGGTAAAATGCACTGAGCAGCTTCCCGTACGGTCATTCTTTACTTGTGTACATAAAAGGAAGCAACTATCTTTTTTATCCACATACATTAGAACCACTGAAGGTAGCAGGTTAGGGTTGAGTTAGCGGCTGAAATAGGAAGTTTGCTAGGGGGATAACGTCACAACGATACTGGTTCGTGAGCATTGTGTCGCCATCAGCTGAAACAGTGTTAACAAGCAATTATACAGTGGTGGTAGAAAGCATTATTCCACCGTCAATGGAAATATATGGACAACAATCTGCAGATTTCCAATATTTGTGCCTGTACTTCACGATAATAATGATACGAATAACAATATAACTCATATCTCTCGCCACTGGGAAGTATCCAGAATACTCCAAGACATTCTCTGTGCGATGATCCCGGAAGTGAATAGACTAGTGCATTCTGAGGACCACAGTTACGATGAATTATTTCCAACTTGAGTGAAAAATTGATGTTGCAGAACCAAAGGAGAGTATCATATGCTTCTTGTCATTCTAAAACCCAGTGCATTGACCGGGCAACGCAATGGGAGTTCTCTACGTACCTGAGTGTTAAAGACATTCACTGGCTTTGCATCGAAACTTCTGTAGTCAAGCTGACTAGTCTGCTGAACATTCCAATATGTTATGACTGTAAACCAAGGAACTAGGACGAAAAACAGACTAGAGCCACGATTTCCATTTAACAACGTAACAATAGGATTTTGACGCAGTTTGTGAAGAAAATAACACGAAAATCTACAGGGTGGTGAAGGCCAGCAGCTTACACATGATTTGGTGTTGAACAAATCCGCGGCCAATTATCAGATCATTGTAGTAAAGTCACTTTGACGAATGTATTACTGAAGTTGTCTACAAAGGTAACGGATTACATTTTCAAAGCGTCAGGGCACGTGTGTCTGTGAATTCTTTGGTATTCTTCTCCTTCGTCAGTTAGTCGAGATTTGGGCTGCGGTAATGTCATCATGATTACATCTTGCTTATGCATAGGCTCAAAAAAACGGTATTCTGTCAAACCCGATAAAATCGGTCTGGAATGAATCTACAGTCTTCATTAAATGCTTACAGTCAACCCATTTCCACAGTAAGGTAACTTTCGATTAAGGCTTACCACGTATGGCACTTGGCCATAAAGGCAAGTCAGAAGCAGTCCCGACGATCTAAATGGCAGAGATATACCTCAAAGCAAACTGAGGCCCAAATCGCCATTTGATCTCTCAATCCAGACACATGGCAGCTACTCCAAGAGCCAAAAATGAACTTCTAACCGACGTGTCGAGCGCTACTCGTGGAGCTCTAGCTTCGTGATCAAATCGAAAGCCATCAACCACTGCGTCGTGTTCCCCCTCTCCGCCCAAGCTATCTCGACCTGACAAGTCCAACACAGGAAGAAACCGGTCAGTCGTAGAGTGGGGTGTTGGGAGTAAGCAGCTAAAAACCCTCCACTCCAATTCATACATACTTTGCAGCGAACAAACTACAACTAGTCTTCGGTTACGCCTCGTGAGATTTGTATCACAGTAACAAATGGTAGGCAACCTTGTTTTACTTTTCACGCTGACAAATAAGTAGACTAAACTATTAATCTACCTTAAACGCATGGGCCGGATTTCATTTACTTTGCAACTTATTATCTTGTAGGAACTACGGGAAGTAGAGGTAGATGTCGAATTACGAATGGGTCCCATTGAGGAAGCCTACTCCCTACTTGTCAGACATCAACTTCCAATCGACCAAGGTGACGCGGAAAAAGCCGACACACTTCGCTACAACTGGAACAAGCTGATCAAGCAAGCCACTGTGGCACAGGATCACCTACTTGCGATTCAGCCGAAAATGCATGCAGAACTATTGTTGAAAGTGACACAAATGAAGGAGGATTGCTCGACATTTTACAACGACTACGATACAGTAAGTGATAATAGCAATTGGTATATTTCTCATCAAGTAAGAAGCGGCGTCCTGTTTGGCTACTTGGTATCAAAATTATCTGTAAATTTCAGTTACCCAGTGCTGCTGAATGCGTAACCATGCGAATTGATGCGCAGGTTTTACGCTTCCCGAAGACTGAAGCGGAGTAACCGTGTGTCAGATAATGAACATTCTATTGGTGACATTGAGGTCAAGCTGTGATTGCCGCATTCTAAACTCAGACGGGAACACATCAACTATGAATCAATGGAACCTCGAGAAACCGTTACTTGAGGTCCAGGAGGAATGTCTGTATTCCATAGCTGTTATCGTTTGAGAGTCGATAGCTGAAATTTCTAATCTGTGCTTGTTCTCATTTCCATCTAATGTACAGGCTTTCCCAGAGTTACCTGCATTCTGTGGTATTTGGCACCAACTTTGTGCACATTTGTCGACCGAAAAGAGCGCCTTCAATACGATATCGGATTGCCTTAGGATGGCTAAGAGCTGGGCTGGCGTAATTAATTTTCTTAGACTCAAACCGGATATTAGAACAATTCACGGATTATTCTCGTGATGTGATGAGGTCCGACCACAGGTTGAACAACAAGGGACACATCAAATTAACAGATGAGCGCTCAAATATATAAGTTATGAAATGCGGTCTGATTAATATGCTAATCCTCTGCGTGGTTCAAGCTACTCGGTCACAAACATTGTTACAGGCGTTGATTCCTTCATATTCACTACCAGCACCTCACAGAATCAGTAAACAGCATTTTCACACCAACTGAGACTTCACTGGCCTACTAGAGTAGATAATAAGGTAATGCCTTCTCTCACACCTTCGGGGGGAACAAACTGCATAGGCACTTTACAACACTTCTAAAATAATAATGTGAATATATATATATATATATATATATATATATATATATAGTTGTCGACATTCGCTTCCGGATTTGCTTGTCACTGTCGCCTCCACAGAACAGCCACAGGAGGCCTGCGCCTACTGAGGGACAATGAGTTGCTTGCGCTACACTAGGCACAGTTCCATCCGCACGCCCCATATCCGGTGTAAACCCGAAGGAATAAGACCGGGAGGCATGCGAATGGCAGCCACGTTTCATCAACTGAGCCGACCCACACTCCTTCACAGGCAAACACAAGCATGCTGTATTTGGCGAACAAACCAAACATAAGGCGGGAGGTTGGCCGTAGCCTGATCCACACACAAACCATGTGCATACAACCACACTTTGAGCCTAACGCGGTCAGAAGGACCGTGCACCACGTCCCCTCCAGCAACGACCAGCTGTCTCCTGGAGCCAGTATAGACGAAGTAATGGGTAATGACAGGTAGGCAGTTTGTCAACACGCACATCAAGCGCAGCCACACCAGGGATGTCAAAAAACAACCAGTCACCCGAAATGACGACATCAAATAAAATACATCGAATAAAGTAAACGGACATGACAGAAATACTCGCTAAATGAGTGCTTATCAGCGAAACTGCGATAAGCAGGAAATGTCCAAAACTTATCTTTAAAATGCCATGTTATAAAGTTACGCAAATTTACCACAATTAGCATGAGCGACGTGCGCAAGTTAGTAGAAGATTATCAAGTACACTTAGTGACTTAGTTTCAGTGTAACTTGGTTCAGCCCAACTCCGGTGAAGAAGCATCATGAATGCAACATCAGCCTGTGGGACTAGTAGATACTAGTCCGAGACGGCGCGCGAAATTAAGCGCGGATATCAGAAGGCAATTGGAATCGGACACAGCGGACTGTATTCGATGGGCTACAAGACGCGGACGGATGATGCGAGACAAGAGCGAACACGTGAGCGCGGGAACTTACAAGGCGGTCGAGTGTCGAGCCGGTTGTAAGGAAGATTAAAACAAGAAAGAATAACGTACAACTGGTAAACAATTAAATAGTACTTAAAAGATACCGCTTATCTTGTTGGGCACTACAGATCTCCCCCCCCCTAGAAGGCTGAAAATAGAAAGCCTTCGATTTCGAAAATGACAGGTGAATCGAGGTTCGTAGGGCAAAATCGTGCCGAGTAAGAGTGAGTGAGCGTTCGTGTCAAGTAGGGGTTCGCCGGAAGTTGGAGTCCGCTGTGCCGTTTGTGATTTATTATTTATTGATTGCAGGGCAGGGTGCATTTCGGAGATCCGTTGGAGCGGGCTTGTCGGACCACAAAACTGGCTAGCCCAGCAAAAGGCCGACAGGACCTCAACCTCTGCTGCTGCCAAACAGTGCGCATGGGAGTGGTCTCTCCACCCGCCCCACGGCAGAGCGACCATTGTCCCACGGAGAAACGATCATCGTCCCAAGAAGAAATGACCGTGGTCCCACGAAGAAGCCACCATCATCCCGCCAAGAAGCGATTCTCGTCCCGAGGAAAAATGACCAGCGTTCGCGTCAGGATCCTCGTTGACTGCGTCGATCCTTGAAAACATAGCTGGTGTGGGCCACTCGATCGAAGGGGAGGGTTGGGACATGTAGAGACCAGAAAATAGAAAAACGCGCGCAGGAAACGCCAGAAAGAAAGAACGAATGATATGCGTGTTTAGATTTTTGGCTTTTGTATATTCTTAAACAGGTTTTTTGGAGGTTTTGGATATTTTGTTTGTTTTCAAAACGTTAATCGACCAAAAACGGGGCAAATGTATACAATATCAACAAAGCTAAACGTGTTTACACTGTACATAGTCGGCGAAACGCACCGGAGATTGGTCGTAAGAGGTGGCGGGCTAGATTCGGGTGATGTCGGGAGGCTGAAGCTTGTAGACCCACATTGTGGTCTGGTTGAACTGCACTAGGATGCTGAAAGCCGGTGCGGTGAGTTGTGACGTCGCGCGAAGTACTACTAGACGAAGTAGGCGAGGTGGTTTCTTCCATAAAGGCCGGCTTTACACGGTCAATGGTGACGACTTGGTGTCGGTCACCGTGGGCAATTGTGTACGTCTTACTCGCACAGCGCAGCACTTTGAAAGGTCCTATGTACGGCAACTGAAGAGGCTGTCGAAAACCGCCTGCGCGAAGAAGGACATGTGAACACGTAGACAGCTTCTCGGGCAGGTACACTGGTGTCTTCTGCGATCGAGGAGCGGGTGGACGTAGCTCGCGCATCTGGTGAGCCAATCGATCAGTGTAACTTCCGTAGTTAAAAGAGGAAGTAAAGGGGCTGGTGCTACCAGCTGTCCGGGCAACCGCAGCGTGCAATCGTAGACTAGCTGCGCTGGTGTGGTGTCGAATTCGGTTTTAACAGTGTATCTTAATCCTAGGAGGAGGAGGGGAAGTGTTTCAGACCATGAAGAATCTGCGTGTGCACGCAGTGCTGTCTTCAACTGGCGGTAAAAACGCTCCACCATGCCGTTAACGGCCGGATGATACGCCGTCGTCTAAACGTGGCGACAACCTAGCTCCTTAAGCAACGTGGCAAATGTCGACGAGAAATGTGACGCTCGATCGGTGGTCACGATGGCGGGACAGTCGTATTGAGCTACCCAGCGCACCAGAAAAGCTTTCGCTACTGTTTCCGAAGAGCAGTTAGGTATGAGAATAGCTTCAGGCCACCTATTGAACTCATCGATACAGGTCAGTAGATATACAGAGCCTTGGGAAGGCGGCAGAGGACCTACGAGGTAGATGTGCACGTGATGAAAACGTGCGTCTGGCGTCGGAAACGTGCCTAATGGGCTTTTCGTGTGCGTGTGCACCTGCACGCGTTGACACGGGAGGCAAGCAGCAGCGCAAGTACGGGCCTCGCGATTAACATTGCGCCAAACGAATCGTGCGGTTACGAGTTTAACCGATGCACGAACGCCTGGATGAGACAAGCCGTGCAATGCGTCGAACACGGTCTGCCGAAACTCGCGTGGGACGACTGGGCGCGGCGTGCCCAGAGATGAATCGCAGAGTCTAGTGCCGTCTGATGATGTCAGCGGAACGGGGCGTATATCCAGTGAGGGAGACCTGCGTAGTAGACCAACCTCAGGATTGTTGAGCTGCGCTGTGGCCATGGCTGCCAAGTCGATAGCAGCGCCGGCGTCAGCGCAGATAGCTTGGATGCGGGAAAGTGCATCGACGACGGCGTTATGCATACCTGAGATATGCCGTATATGGGTCGTAAACTGAGCGATATAGTCAAGGTGGCGCGACTCTCCAGGAGAGTATCGATCGGTGGTTGAGCAGAGCGCATAATTCAGGGGTTTGTGGTCGGTGAAGACGGCAAATGAGCGGCCTTTTAAGACGTGTCGGAAGTGACGTATCGCTAGATATACAGTCAATAGTTCTCTACCGAACGTCCTGTAGCGAGATTCGATAGGTTGTAGGCGTTTGCAGAAAAACGCTAAGGGCTGCGACGTGTCGGCTAATCGTTGCTGCAAAACAGCGCCGACTGCCACGTCCGGGACGTCAGTATTGAGGGACCGTGGGGCGGCCGGATCTTGATGCGCTATAGAAGCTATGTTGACGAAAACCTCTTTTAGCGACTTAAAAGCAGCGCGTGCTGCAGCAGAAAACTCGAATTTCTTGAGTTCCACTCGGAGAAGGTCCGTGAGGGGTTGCATCAGCGAGGCGCATTTGGGTATGAACCGTCGGTAAATGTTGACAAGCCGAACAAAACGCCTGAGCTGTTTGGAAGAATGAGGCTCGGGGTAGTCGATGATGGCTTGAATTTTATCCTGTAGTGGCATAACGCCTGCAGAGGAGATACGATGGCCAAGGAAGTTTACTGAGTCGACACCAAACGAACACTTTTCGGCGTTGATCGTCACCCAGTGTTGAGATAAACGATCAAAAAGTGTTCGTACGTAGCGCAAGTGCTCTTATCGGGAAGAGCTCGCGATTAAAATGTCGTCATGATAAGTGAAAGGGAAGTCTAAGCCGCGACAAACTTGGTCGATGAAGCGCTGAAAAGTTTGCGCGACATTCTTTAGAACAAATAACATGTATAGAAACTCGAACAAACCAAATAGAGTCG